TCCCCGGAGAACCTGCCCCAAGGTAACCATGTTAGCGTATTTTTGTTTATCCTTCTAGAAATTTTCCAAAAATGTGCAAACATCGGTATGTATAACCTCCTCATTTTACACATATGAATGAAATATTATAATGCATACTTGCCATTTATATCCTACTCATACGTTTTCTCACATGGCTACATAAATAAAGCCTTTAAAAATAAAAACAGTCTCTGACTTAGAAGTATGTGATACCCCAAAAACTTAACTTGTAAATCACTTTTCTGGAACTTAAAACCAGTTTCAGAGAAATAATGTTCTAAATCAAGGAGCGGGGTCAGGGGTTTTTCTGTAAAGGGCCAGATTGTGAGTATGTTCGGCTTTGCCCACCAGTCTCCATCATGTGTTCTCTGGGTTTTTTGGTTTTGTTTCATTTTGTTTACAATCCTTTAAAAATGTAAAGACCAATCTTAGCTCTCAGGTAGTGCCTAAACAGGCTGTGGGCCAGATTTGGCCTTTGGACTATCATTTGCTGACCCCTATTCTAAATGCTGGTTAGGCCCGCAGCTTAGCTCTCAGAAGCACAATTAATCCATAATGTTACTGAGATACCAAATGAGATAATATATTTTAAAATGCATTGTAAACTGTAAAGTCTATACTAATACGAAGAATTATTATGTACTTTTTCAGTGTTTAGCATGTGGATAACTTTTAAAAACAAAAGTTAACATTGAATTTAAGTGTTTTATATATCTTGAATGAAGAATTAGATATATTAGTGAAGAATCTCAGAATTTTCAAGCTATCTAAGACGCAGAAGATAACATTGTATTACATCCACTCCTACTTTAAAATTTTGTATTTATTTATTTTTTTTAGATATGGGGTCTTGCTCTGTTGCTCAAACTGGAGGACAGTGGCATGATCATAGCTCACTGCAGCCTTGAACTCCTGGGCTCAAGCAATCCTCCTGCCTCAGCCTCCTGAGTAGCTGGGACTACAGGTACACACCAGCACACTTGGCTTCCTAACCTTTTTGTCAACACAACATAAACACATATTAACTTAAATGTGACTCTTGTGGTGTGAGTTCATATGCCAAGTGCCCCCCTCCACTGAAAAATAACTCACTGAGTTTTTGCACTGCAGGCATTGAAAAGGCTCTTCTGTTCACTGTTCATAGCCACGTGTACTTGCCTAACCTTGAATATTCTGTGAATTCCATCTGCTGGAACCTACAAAGGCAGAGAAAGGGCAGAAAGGATAAGAATAGGGTAAATGCTGGAGAGTCATTTTATGACTTATCTAGATAAGGAAACTAAATTTTTTGTTTTTGTCTGAGATAGGGTCTTTCTCTGTCGCCCAGGCTGAAGTGCTGTGGGATGATCTCGGCTCACTGTAGCCTTGACTTCCTGGGCTCAGGTGATCCTCCCACCTCAGGCCCCTGACCCCCCGAGTAGCTGGGACCACAGGCATGAGCTACCATGCCCCATTAATAAAAATTAATAAAAATTTTGTGTTTAATTTTGTATTTAAAATTTTGTGTTTATATTTGTGTATATACTTATATACCCCCAAATTTTTTTAGAGATGGGCTTTTGCCACATTACTCACACTGGTCCCAAACTCCTGGGCTCAAGCAATCTGCCCACCCTCAGCCACCCAAAGTGCTAGGATTGCAGGCATGAGCTGCTGTGCCCAGCCAGGAAACTTATTTTTAACAACATAAACATCCCTATTATATATATAATTGAGCTTTAAAACTTATGACCTGCCCCTTCTCCATCATGGAGGGTAGGGCTTGCTTTAATAACCTCACACCATAATTATAATTTTATTTTCTGTAAATGAAATGCAGAGATTTTCCTACACTACCTGGACTAGGATTAGGAAAGAAGGTGGAAGAGATAGGGCACTAAAAACAAAAACAAAAACAAAAAACCTGTGAGGAAGGCACTGAGCTGCTGCCTGCCTGCCTGAGCAGTGAAGGTGGTTCATGGTACCGCACATGTAACCCCAGAAAGGAAACCCAGATGAGAGGGGGAAGATGTTTTGTGGTACAACTGAATCCTTTAGGGAGGAGTACTCTGTGATATTTCCCTTAGCAAAACATCATATTGCTTGATAAAAACAGTCCTTTAAAAAAATAGTCCTTTTAAATTTTTCTTTTTTTTTTTTTCTGAGACAGAGTTTGGCTCTGTCACCCAGCCTGTAGTGCAGAGGCACAAACTCAGCTCACTGTAACTTCCATCTCCTTAGCTCAAACAATCCTCCCACCTTAGCCTCTCAAGCCCAACCTTAAAAAAGTTTCTATAATTAAAAAGACAGGTCAGATACAGTGGCTCAAGCCTGTAATCCCAGCAATTTGGGAGGCCAAAGCAGGCAGACCACTTGAGGCCAGGAGTTCAAGACTGGCCTGGGCAACATAGTGAAACCCTGTCTCTCCCAAAAATACAAAAACTAGCCAGGCATGGTGGTGTGTGCCTGTAGTCCCAGCTACTCAAGAGGCTGAGGTCAGAATATGGTTTGAGCCCAGGGACAGAAGTTGTAGTGAGCTATGAGTGCACCACTGCATGCCAGCCTCAGCAACAGAGAGAGACTGTCTCAAAAACAAACAAACAAACAAACAAATAGCTGGGTATGGTGGCAAGCACCTGTGGTTCCAGTTACTCAGGAGGCTGAAGCAGGATGGTCACTTGAGCCCAGGAGGACAGGGCTGCAGTGAGCCACGATTTCACTACTACACTCCAGCCTGGGCAAGAGAGCAAGACTGCCTCAAAAACCAAAACCAAAACAAAAAAACAAACCATCCATCCATTGAATTTTAGGGACCCCTTAGATCCCCTTGAACTCGGCTTATCTAGCCAGGTAAGCCAGAACACAGTGGTAGAGAAAGGCTATCAATGAAGAGAAGCACAATAAAAATATTACCTAGGTTTACAGGCTATTGAAGAGTTCTGACGATACTTTCCCAAGCATTATCCTTGCAACAACTCTGTAAGGTCACAGAGCTGGAGGCAGGGTGCAGCGGCTTGCCTGAGTTCATGAGCTAGCCCATGGCAGGGCAGCAAGTGCTTGAAGTTCTGAGGCCAAGTCCGGTGCTGTTCACATTTCCCATCCTGCTTCCCAAGAGGGTCCATCCAGATCCTGTGGAAATGGGCATTTCTGCCCCTACTCCTCTGTGCATTCTTCATGAGTGGTTGGATTTCCATGACTTCACTCTGCCAAAGTGTCCTGTATTGAAGCATATGGAACTGCTGACCTTCCAATAAACCAGTATGGTTTGCTAAGCACCCACTTCTGTACTGAGGAAGGCGGTAGAGCCAGGCTGGGAAGAAAGCGGAGTTGGGCCAGGCTGGTGGGTTGGAATCCTAGCAGTGCGGCTGACCAGCTGGCCAGTTTGAGCACATTACTTAACCTCCAGCCAATGTACAAAAAGTGCATAGCCCAGTTACAAGGACATGATAAAAATTCAGTTATGCAGACTTTTACTTTTATTGAGTCTTCCCCTGCTTTCTCTGAGACGGATTATAAGAGATTATATAAGAGATGGATTCACGTCAACTTCATTTTCTTCTTTCCAAGAAAAAAGTCACAAACAGAAACACAGTCTGTGCCTTGTCCGTGTGTGTTCATGGGCTTAGCTAACGAGTGTACCTGGTAGTGCACAGATCCACATAATCAATCCCACCCCTGAAGCCAAGCTTACAGTTTTAAAAAAATCAATACATGTCACTCATCTTCCTAATCTCTTCTCACATGTGACTGACAAGCATCAGTCAGCATTGCTTGTACAAATTACTGTTCTTCAATGCCGGGGCAGGTGGGCCAAACGCCAAAATTACCTAAACAGCTTGAACTCCTGGAGTTTTCCTCCAAGCCAGCGTGGAAGGGGAAAAACCTGCTATCAAGGGCTCCCCCTACAGGAACCAAAAGGCAAAGGCTAAATATTAAGGTGGGTGCCCTTAATGCCTAGCAGAGAACTTTTCTTTCTTCTTTTGAAAGGGTTTCTAAGGCAGTCCTGAAACCATACGTTTACTTGTTGACATAATCCCTTTTCCAAAACTCTGGCCAAAGAGTCTTCATAATCTAAGGGACCAAGAATCAGGCAACCTCTTCCTCTTGATGTATTCCCCTCCCACCTATAAAGAACCTCCTAAATGTGATTTTGATACAAACAGAACACAAAAGGACTCTAAAGCTGTAACACTATTTTTGATAGTTATACTTATGGCACTTGTGAGTTTTCTTGCTGCTCATCTCCATCTCACTTTTAGGATTAGTGTATATCTGTGTGCGTGTGTGTGTATGATGCACACATGCACCAAAACAACTTCAATTCCGGACATAAAATCAATGACAGTTTTTAAACCACTTGATGGAAGGTTGGAGAGAACTTTTACCTTTTACTTATTTTGTGCTACAAATCAGGTATGTTTAATTCTCTAGGTTAGTGGAAATAAGCTTGGATGGTGGCCTGCTATCAAAGGCTTTAAAAAAAAAAGCTTGGATGGATAAATGAAAAGTTTCCAAGACATAAAGAAACAGCTTGTTCTAAATCTGTGCTTCTATTTCTCAATCTAAGAGATGGAAGTTCCCCAACTAGAGATGTACATTTCCTTACAAAGGACACTTAAATTTGCACCCACAGAGACAAATGCTCATATGGGGACTCAAGAAGGACTAGAGGTTGGAAGAGGCTTCAGATTACGTTATAAGAAACAGCTGAAGAAAACAGGGGTGCTCAGCCTAGGGAAGACCAAGGGGTGGCCTGATAGGCTACCTTGGGAGGTCAACCAGTCTCACCGTGTGGCATCACTAGTGGGCAGAGCTGTCAGAAGAGAGAGTGGAGCTCACGTTCAGAAAGAACATTTTAATAATGAGCATTGCCCACAAAGAATAAGCTGTACAGGTCAGGGGTGAATACCTCATCTCTGAGGGTGTTCAGCCAGGGACTGGAGAGGCCAAATACGGGGAACACCAAAGAGACTTAGGAACAGGAAGAAGACTGAGCCAGATTATATTTAACACGCTTTTTATTTTTTTGAGACAGGGTCTCACACTGTCACCCAGATTGAAATGCAGTGGCACGATCTCAGCTTACTGCGACCTCTGCCTCCCGAGTTCAAGCAATTCTCCTGCCTCAGCCTCCAAAGTAGGGATTACAGGTGCAGGCCATTACCATCCAGCTGATTTTTGTAGTTTAAGTAGAGGCGAGGTTTCACCATGTTGTCCAGGCTGATCACAAACTCCCGACCTCAAATGATCCACCTGCCTCAGCCTCCCAAAGTGCGGATTACAGGCATGAGCCACCACACCTGGCCTAAAATCCTTCTTAGCTCTAAAATCCTGAAACTGTATAATAAAACCCCAAACAACTTAATAGTCTTCTTGTTATCAGGCTGGTGGCTGGTTACCATCCCCCAGAGTCATTATTAACATATTAAACAACATTTTGGGCTTCAAGCCCTGAATTAGCTTCAAAACAACTTTTCAAAAGAAAAGAGAACAAAATAAAACTAAAGTATAGGCTGTACCAGTGTCAACTTCCTATCTTTAGCATTTACTATAGTTATGTAAGATGGAACCACCAGAAGAAGTTAAATGAAAAGCTGGGTGAAGGGTAAATGGGACCTCTACTATTTCTGCAATTTCCCGTGAACTTATGATTTCAAAATCAAAAGCTAAAAAAAAAATCAAATTAGCCCAGGCACAGTGGCTCATGCCTGTAATCCCAGCACTTTGGGAGGCTGAGGAGGGAGGGTTGCTTGATGCCAGGAGTTCAAGACCAGCCTAGGTAACAAGGCAAGACCCTTGTCTCTACAAAACAAAAATTAAAAATAGTGGGGCTGACGGCATGAGCCTGTAGACTCAGCTACTCAGGAGGCTGAGGTGGGAGGATCCCTTGAGCCTGGAAGGTTAAGGCTGCAGTGAGCTATAATCAGGCCACTGCATTCCAGTCTGGGCACAAGAGACCCTCATCTTTAAAAAAAAAAAAATCAAAAATCAAATTAAAGATACTTCCCCAAGAAATTCTAAGAACATTAAAGACAACTACAAACCAGTTTGGTTTAGGAGTACAGTGTCATCAGCCATAAATGACTCTGCGCAAGTATCCACAGGCAGTAGGGCTCATTTCAAAACTATTCAAGACTATTCCAATCAGCTCATTTCAATCAGCTATTAAGATTTACAATCATGATTAGGAAAGTATGTATCATGTTGACAGGTGTCTAATTTGGTTATGTTGATCATAAATCCTCAGTTATCTGGGTTCACATCATTAAAATCACCTATAGGCAATACATTCTTACAACTGCTTCCTATGTGGTACTACAGAGGAACCACATATAATTACCGTATTTCTCACACTGTAATACAGTAATTTGTTTATGTCTTAATTCTTCCACTAACCATGACTTGCAACAAGAACTACAATCTTGTTCATCTCATTTTATCACCAAAACCTAATCCATAGTAGCTTCTCAATAAATAGCCACAGAGTGAGTATATTAAAAAACAGTAATTATTTTCTTGAACTTCTGGAGGTGGTTTCCTTTTTTGATACAAAGACAGCCAAAGAAATCTCAGAGAGTCTCTATTGTAGAATCAGTATTAAATATGCATATATACATATGTATGTATGTCACAAAGTCTCTGAAATACAGAAGTTTAATCTTGAAAACTATCTCTTAACTACTTGTTTTTGATTTGTTAGTTTCCTAAGATATAGGTTGGATTTGGAATAAAATAGAAAGGTCAGGCTTTTCCAGACAGACAGGAAAACAAATAGGAATTGTTGAACAGATCCCCTCAACTTCAAAGTTTCTGCTGGAATGACCTTTGCCTAATTTTACCAAATACACCAAGAACAGCTTCTTTCAGAAATTTTCAAGACCTTTGGATTCTTTAATATCGACAGATCAAAAAGCATTCGGTGATTTCTCTGTATTTTCTATCTCTTAGCTAAGTTTATTAAAGTATGCATTTTTTCAAATAAACATTTTGAACAGTCCAAATAAATGAAAGCAGTGAGATCACAAAGTGTTGCTTCTCGGTACATTAGCTTCTTCAGAAAATCCAAAAGCCACAACCAAAGATCAATGATGCTATCTTAAAGACATGACAGAGGCTCCTTAAGACCCTAGAGACACCAAGGACCCCACAGGCTCAGTCATATAAACAGGCTCAGAAGCCGGCTTGATCCTCAGTACCTCTGCAAAGCCATCACCAAACCAGCAAGTGACATGCGCTATGTCTACTGTAAAGTAGAAAAGGCGGTCCTGGCAAAGCTTCCGGCGGTACACAGACCGAGGGTCCGCTGACAGCACAGCCTCGATGGCACGCTTTGCTTCCTCAGCTGACTGAAAATATTTAAATGATGCCTGACCAACATCTGCAATGAAAAGAACACAATGAGCAGTATCGTGCAAGTCAAATTTTACAACAACAAACTTCAGTGTGGACTTTGGTTGGTTCCTTAAAGATCACTTAACATGGACAGGGTTTGGAAATCGATTTGATCATTACAGAGACTGTCACCTTTAAGAGGTCTTTATTGTCATTAGGCTTAACTTGTACACCCCAAACTTTCATTCTACTGAACAGAAAAATCATGGTAGCATTTTTCCTTAGTCTCCTAACTAGAAGAGGTGAGCTTTCATTTTCTGTCAACCAAAATGACACTTTCCTGACATCCAAAATGTCACTTTTCTATACTCAATGTAGACTTTCATTCCTTGTCATTTTCTTCTCAGAACAGAGACAAGGAAATTCATGACAGTCCCAGCATCCTCAGAAAGCCACAAGAAAGAGAACCCACACACACCCAGAACACCAGCTACAGGCAAGAAAGGCTGCACCAGAAAGCTGGTATCACAGCTTCACAGTTACCAGTAACGTCCCTTCCCTTTGTTTTGGGACTCTCTTACATCCGTGTCCCTAAGGAACAGCAAAACTTCCTAAGTTTGTAGGATTTTTAATGTATTTTAATTTTTAAAAATACAGTATGTATAAAACATAAATTTGAAAAGTAACTGCAACCTAGTTTTTAAACATCACATACAACCAGATGAAGGCCAGCCCCTTCCAGGAAGGTATAGACTTTAAAAACGCTGCCCCGACTCAAAATATCATCTGTGGTGGCGGTAGGTATTTATCCCTTGGAGTGGATTTGATTTCTATAAGCAGCCAAAAATCACTGTGGGCTATATCTAATAAGCACGTTGGGTAAATAAAGCCACGAAGTACAATTTTTAGTCAAAAATCAATTACATGGTCTGGACACGGTGGCTCACACCTGTAATCCCAGTACTTTGGGAGGCTGAGGCAGGCGGATCACGAGGTCAGGAGTTCAAGACCAGCCTGACCAACATGGTGAAACCCCATTTCTACTAAAAATACAAAAAAAAAAAAAAAAAAAAAAAAAATTAGTCGGGCATGGTAGCACACACCAGCAATCCCAGCTACTCAGTAGGTTGAGGCAGGAAAATCACCAGAACATGAGAGGCAGAGGTTGCAGTGAGCCAAGATCGCGCCACTGCACTGCAGCCTGGGCAACAGAGCGAGACTCTATCTCAAACAAACAAGAAAATCAATTATATGGCAGTAAGTTTCCTTTACTGCATGGCTCATAGAAAATGGCTCCAAAGGCCACTCAGAAATGAGAAGCTCATCACACTCTGACGGCATTTCTGGTAGAGGCTCCAGCCTCTGCTTGGCTGTTCATCAGGCATGGGTGCCTTCCCCCAATTCCCTGCCTACTCATACTGCCAAGTGAAGCTCAAGCACTGTTTCCTCCCACACACCCTCCCGACCCAAGTCAGGATTCTCCTCTCAGAATGCCCACAGCACTCTGCCCACACCTTTACTCCAGCACCAAACCTCCTCCCATTTCAACACCTTTACCCTCTTCTAGACTCAGAATTTCCTGAAGTCATTTCTTATTTCTGCAATGGCTCTGCATTTTGCTGTTTTCGATCAATCAGTTCCCATTTTCTAGTTACACTGCCTAATTTCTCATTTTAATCATTTTTTAAATCAATAAGGCATACTTCAAACACCTGACACATACTGCACTGCAGTTAGAAAAACAGAACCTTCCATTAATAGGTTGCATTCGACAATAACCATGGGACAAGAGGTAAGTGTAAACATAAAGTGGCTAGGAGGCAGAACTGTTTTGTTCCACCACAAAATCCTTTAACAACCGATCATCCTCCTCCCATCAACTGTATACAGTGATGATACAATCTCCATTAACAGAACTTTTTAAAATAAAGAGATCAATTTTAAATAAAAAGCTTTGTTTAAAAGTAAAGCCTTAGGCGGGCACGGTAGCTCACGTTTGTAATCCCAGCACTTTCGGAGGCCAAGGCGGGTGGATCATGAGGTCAGTAGATCGAGACCATCCTGGCTAATATGGTGAAACCCTGTTTCTACTAAAAATACAAAAATCAGTTGGTGTGGTGGCACAGGCCTGTAGTCCCAGCTACTCGGGAGGATGAGGCAGGAGAATCACTTGAACCCAGGAGGCACAGGTTGCAGTGAGCTGAGATCGCATCACTGCACTCCAGCCTGGGCACAGAGGGAGGCTGTGTCTCAAAAAATAATAATAAAATAAATAAAGGCTTAAAGAACAAATGAGAAGCACAACCCTCAAGTGACATCGCCACTTGTGACCATAAGACTGCCTCACCCAGAGGTGCAGGGGGTGCCCTGCATATGGCACCCTGCTGAGGTTGGCATGCTGGGACTAAAACCAGTGCTTGGGCCCTGGCAGGTGGCTGCCTCCATCCAGAGGAAGAGGTGTGGCTTTTCCTTTGCAAAAGGCAACAGTAAGGGCTGGCTGAGGCTCTGACAGGAAGAAATGGGGAAATCTCAGAGTCAGATGTCATGTGTCTCTAACACCAACTTTTAGACTTCTTTTTCCCATCATAAGAACTTCCTTCAGTTTGGAATATCAAAGCCAAATACCCAACCAGCCTCTTCATTCTCTCCCTGCTTGTAAAGCAGGGGAAAATCTAGTGTCGTGTAAGCCTTTATTTTCTGGATATGGAATGAAAGTCTTCAATAAGGAATTCCAGCTTGCCTGTGCATGTCACTGAGGTATGACAACCCAGAAATCACCCAGGTAGTGATCTAAACCCGGACATGGTCTCCTGCTCTCTGAGAATACAGACATCAAGTTCCTCTGCCTTTCACTGCTCTCAAGAGCAAAACTCAAGTCCTTACAATGGCTTATAAAATTCTTAGGTGACCTCGTCCCTTTTCTAGTACCTTTTTGACCTCATATCCTTCCACTCAGCCCTCCTCAGTCCACTCTGGCCACGTAACCTCAAACGTACCATGAACCCTCCACCTTGAGGCTGTGCACTCGCTGTCCCTCAGGCCAGCATGTCCTTTCAGTGGACAGGCTGGCTCTTGTCTTCACCTCTTTGACCTTTGCTCATATATGTCTTCTCAGTGAAGTCCATTTGGACCACCTATTTAAAGTTGCAACAGGCTAGGTACAGTGGCTTACACCTGTAATCCCTGCATTTTGGGAGACTGAGACAGAGGATCCCCTGAGCCCAAGAGTTCAAGAAAAGCCTGGGCAACAAAATGAGGCCCCGTCTCTACAAAAAAATCAAAATATTAGCCAGGTGTGGTGGTGCACCCCTATAGTCCCAGCTACTCTGAAGACTGAGGTAAGAGGATTGCTTGAGCCCAGGAGGTTGAGGCTGCAGTAAGCCATGTTCTTGCCACTGCACTCCAGCCTCAGTGACAGAGTGAGACCCTGTCTCAAAAATAAAAATAGTAACACCCCAATCCTCCTGTATTCTCTTTTAAATTTTTCCAAAACTCTTATCACTTTTAGTATTATATAATGTTGAATATGTTTGGTATAATAACTTGATGGCTTATTATGCTTTTAGTTTGTCTCTCCTCCCCATTACAATGCAAACTGCATGAGAGCAGAGGTTTTTTAAATCTGTTTTGTTCAGTGATGTATTCCAAGAACCTAGTCCAATGTCTGGTACCTAGATGAAGCTCAGTAACAGCTGTAGAATGAATAAATGAACTGCCCTGTTTATATGGCTATACTAGCTCTTTACTGAGTTGTAACACAAAGAACAGCTTTTTGCAATCTGACATCTCCTTGGAAACTAGCAGCTTCTTCTTGATGGAGTCTCACTCTGTCACCCAGGCTGGAGTGCAGTGGCACCATCTTGGCTCACTATAACCTCTGCCTCCCAGGTTCAAGCGATTCTCCTGCCTCAGCCTCTCCAGTAGCTGGGATTATAGGCTCCTGCCACCACGCCTGGCTAATTTTTTGTATTTGTAATAGCGATAGGGTTTCCTCATATTGGCCAGGCTGGTCTCGAACTCTTGGCCTCAAGTGAAGCACCCTCCTCGGCCTCCCAAAGTGCTGGGATTACATGAGTGAGCCACCAGGCCCAGACTGCAACTAGTTACTTTTTACTGGTATCACCATATCTACATTTTTTTTTTTTTTTTAGAGATGGAGTTTCGCTCTTGTTACCCAGGCTGGAGTGCAATGTATTCACATATTAACAGCCCCTTCCTTCATTCTAGGCTGCTGCTTGGGATCTGCTGTGGGCTAGGGAAACCAGATAACATTTGTTAAGAACCATGTGTTAAAGTAAACAGCCTCCACATAAGAGCCCTGTGGCCTCTCTTCTGCAGGAAAGTGTATGCCTCTAGCAGTGGGACTTTGTTGGGGCAATTCCTGCACTCCTGGAGTCCTCTGTGCCAGAGGCTGAGCTATGGGCTACCTGACTGTCAGAATACAATATAACATTTCTGTAGTCAGACAGTAAAACAAATGAGAAAACTTTATGTACTTAAGTATAAAACAAGTACAGTTTAGCTTCTCAATGATATTTGAAGACTCTAAGAACTACTGTAACAAGTAGACAAGGGGCTGAAAGTCATGTGCCACACTGTGAGGCAGCAGCCACCCCCTGCCAATGCTTTACTGACAGCCTGGAACTAACTGTACTGACCACACAGTTGTCCAACAAAAGTTATCATATGATGGTGCTGCAAAAATATTATTTTATACCTGTTTCCTAAAAACCAGTCATACTGAAAAACACTCCATATAACTGACCTCAGAAATACCAAACTTGGCTAAATCTCAGAGTAAAAGTTCATCTCTCATTCAGAATGAAGAAACTGAAGATACCTGGTTCACCTTGTGAACTGAGCCGCACTAGGTCCATCTCAGCATGAGGAGTAAACCGCACTTCTAAAGTGGCCACAGGGGCCTCTCTCACCCAGGCAGGAACCATGCTGTGGGGAGCTCCATCAGCCCTTCCAGCAGGGTAGTGAGGGGCCCTGGGCTGTGTCTCCACCCTGCTTCCTTGCAAGACTGCTGCTCCTTCCACTCTTTCTAGCTTCTTATCTGTACCTTCCTCTAAAAAGCTCTTCTCCGGGCAATATGGGCCAATTTGCTCTTCTGCCACGCTGGAACTCTGATCACTTCTTGATTCCAAACCAAAATCCGCTGTGATCTCCCTGTGCATAGGGAATGCTTGCTGACTTTGTGCTGTGTCACTGTACGTCAGGCAGTTTTCTTCTGAAGTTCTGTCTTCAGGACATTTAGGTTTCTCCTTAGTGCCATGGTGGGGCTGTGGCTCATCACACCCTGAAAGCTGTCGCTGGTCACAGCTGTCAGTCTTGCTGTCAGACTGGGACACAGTTTTTGGTTTATGTTGGTTATTCTGTAAATTAAAATCTGCTAAAGGCTCCATCACATTTTGTGGTGAGTCATACTCAGCTATGTAGGGCTTGATGTCTAGTATGGGTGTGCCATGTATCATGTCAATTCCAGAAAGGTATATAGCTCCACCTATGACATAAAAATGTGAAAAATGAAGAACAGTGCAAACACTTAGAGAATACAATCATACCCCAGAATCCTCTAACACTGTCTGCTTATGCCTCACTGCGCTTACTCACAATTCTCTCACATAGACCTGTTACCAACACACATCCTTCTTTCCACCTGGAAGCCCATCCTCTACTCTACCTATCAAACACCTATTTGCTCGTTGAGGCCCTCAAAGCACACATCTTTTACAAAGCCTTTCTGGCTGCTTCAGACAACAGCATTCATTCCTATAGTCCCCATAGAAAAGTCTGTGCACAAGCCTCTGCTAGAGCCCTTTCCCCATGGTCAGGCAGTAACCTGCTTAGAGTCTTTGTCCCTAGACAGCAGGCAGGCCCCTTAACACAGGCTGGGGCCAACTAATCTTTGTATCACGGGTGCTTCTGTTCCAGAGACACAGTAGTACTCAATCTATCTCTGTGGGACCAATGAGGGTTTCTACTGTGGCAAACAGATCCAAAGGTGGTCCTGTGACCCCTTAACTCCTGAAGTTCATGCCCTTATATAATCCTTCCCCTTGAGTGACTGGCTTCTGACCAACAGAATATGGCAAAAGAGGTGTGATGTCCCTCCAGTGACTATGCTTTTCATAAGCACTGCTGCTGACTAGAAGACTGACTCGAGGGACTCTCCTTGAGGGTTTGCTGAAGTAGGCAGGCATGCTGGGAGCCCATATAGCAAGAAACTGCAAACAGCCTTTAGGAGCTGAGGGTAGCCTCCAGCCAACAAACAGCAAGAATCTGAAGCCCCCAGTCCTACAATGGCAAGGAAATCAATGTGGCCAACAGTCTGGGTACCCTTGAAGCAGATGCTTCCATGGTCAAGCCTCCAGATAAGAACTCATCTCAGTTGACAACTTAACTGCAATCTAGTGAGACCCTAGGCAGATGACTGAGTTATGCTGTGCCTGTCCTTCTGACCCACAGGTACATAATAATGTTTCAAACACATAATAAATGTATGTTGTTTAAACTGATGATTTTGTGGTAATTTGTTACATAACAATAGAAATCTAATACATCCATGAAGACTCAAACGATTAAGTAGCACATAAGTCAGCATTACCAATACTAAAAACAAGACTCCAGTCATCCCACTGGACAGATGCTGTCCAGTTCCTGCTACAAATAGTCATCTACTAACCTGACTCTTGGAAAATAAGCCAAATGAGAACAGAAAACCTGCATGCAGTCACATTTGATTCCGTCTCCATTTAAGAAAAATGTAACTAATGCAGGACCCTGATTTCTGAAACATGTTTATTATGAATGAGCCTGGAGCTCTGGAAAGATGATTCTGGATTTGCTAGATGATGAATTATGCCTAACAATATCTGTAGGAAAAAGAAAGGCACTGTAGCATAAGTAAGAGTTCAAGAGATTTAGAGCCAGACGACCACCTGGCTGGATGCTATTAGACAGATTATCTAACATTAAAGAGCCCCAGTTTCCTCATCTATGAGATGGGAATTGCTACTTTATCAAAGCCACTGGGAGATTTAAGGTATGTGAACACTAACTGTAAAGCACTGCACAAACACTAGCTACCATAAAGCTTATATAGTAATGTCTACAGTGCTACTGTGTTTGCCTTTTAACCTTTCTGACTTAACATCCCCCATTGAAACTTAAGTTCTTGAGAACACAGATTTTTATTTTTATCTGATTTGTTTACCCCTATAGCTCAAGCACCTAGGACAATGTCTGGCACATATTCAGTGCTAGAAAATATGTGTGAGGGCCAGGCATGGTGGCTCAAGCCTGTAATCCCAGAACTTTAGGAGGCCGAGGCGGGTGGACCACGAGGTCAAGAGATCGAGACCATCCTGGTCAACATGGTGAAACCTCGTCTCTACTAAAAATACAAAAAAAATTAGCTGGGCATGGTGGCATGTGCCTGTAATCCCAGCTACTCAGGAGGATGAGGCAGGAGAATTGCCTGAACCCGGGAGGCGGAGGCTGCGGTGAGCCGAGATTGTGCCATTGCACTCCAGCCTGGGTAACAAGAGCGGAACTCTGTCTCAAAAAAAAAAAAGAAAATATGTGAGTTACATGAATAATCATAAAATATTCTAGTACTTGCTACCCAAATTGGTTAGCCATTACAAATTGATAAAATTCAAGGTGGATCAGGTACTGAATTTTTCTGGGACAACTACCTAAGGCCTAGTTGAGTACAATCCAGTGAAGGAGTTCAAGTTCTGGGAAAGAACAAGCAAGATAACTGCTCTCATCTATCTAGTACCCAATAGCCTGGAAAGCAGTTTTAGAACTTTTGTCTTACAAGTCTCAAAATACCCTGTTGAATCACAGAGAAAGTAGGTCCTTCTCGTTTGCCCACTTCACAACCAGTAGGCTGAAGCCTGGAATGGTCTCCTGACTCCTCAGTTTACCTGCCATTTCATCTTCTGCCTCTCTAACAAATGCATCTATTAGGTCAGAGTGATTCAAGAATGGAATGCTTTCCATAAATGTGTAACTAGGTTATATATGAACACACAGTTAAAACCAGTTAGTTTAAAACTTCTATAATCTGACCAATGTTTGTTCTTGTAGTGTGATTCATCCCAGACTCCTGCCACATTGTACAGTTGACATCTGCACTGCAGCCATGATATCTATTTCCCTATGACTACAAGGAAAGAATAATATACCACAAGTCTATGTGTTTTTCATATGTGCATGTACAATGAGTTATTCTGGGTTAAACTGAAAAATTATTTTAAATCATTTTGTATTTATTACATTCCAAGTCAAGAGAAACTTTGGTTACTAATTTAATGATTATGAAATCTTTGTGTTATTTCTAAATAATTTACTAGTTTGGGATATATGTAATAATATAAACAAACTCTAAGCATCCTATGAGAGTTTATTTCAACATTTTTCAATGCTAACATTCTTTTAATCACTGTATTTTCTTCAACGTCTTGTGGTTCTCAGGAGTTAAAGTCATTGGTACTCATGTGAAGAAACAGCAGTAGTAAATGCTGTGTTTATTTTATAAGACTTTTCTGGGTAAGGAAAAAGGTAAAAGTAGAAATGAAATGGATACCTTCTACCTTTTCCAGCTTGGCCAGAGTCAGTCCTATTGCATTGGGGCGATGAGGGCTCCTTGTGGAAAAAACTCCAGTCTTGGCACCATTCAGCCTAGGAGGCTGCACTTTTGCCTTACAGCTCAAATGACCATTCTTGTGAAAAACAAACAAAATCCTATTGAAAACAAACCAAACCATGGAATAAGAAAAGAGCACAAGTTATTTTATCATGATGATCTGATGGGGAAAAAATGCAATCTCCCACAAATTAACAGAAATCATTTTTTAAACAGTATTAAATTGTAATCTGGTAGGAAGAAAATAACACCATCCCCCCTCCCTAAAGGAAGACAGAATCTCATCTCCACATTCTTTGCACCTAACACAACAACTGGCGCACAACAGGAACTTAAGAGACCTTTGTCAAGTACCCAATAAACAAAATTTACTAAGTGTCTGCTGTTTGCCAGGTAGTACAGTAAAACATTTTTACACTTGTTTCATGCAATCTTTTTAACAATCTTAATTAATATAATTTATCCCCCATTTTTGGGATGAGGAAATTGAAGTTCAGAAATGTTGAATAACTTGATCAGACCTTCCTTCTTTTTTTTAATTTAGCATTACCAGACCTTCCTAAATAAGATACAAAACCAAGAAGCTATGAAGAAAAACTAACAGATTTGAACTCATGAAACCATTACATTTATGTATTACAAAATGTCAGCCTAAGAAAAAATGTTTGCTATATACATAACGGACAATGGGTTAATATCTGTGGTACGTATTACTACAAATTACTACATATTCCTACAAATTACTAATAGGACACTATGCAAAGAACACAAATATATTAATAGGTAATTCACAAAAAAAATGTCAAGTAGCTAAGCACCATAAGAAAAGATGTTGAGCTTTACCAATACTTAGAAATTTCTAAATTTAGAAATTAAACTAAATAACGAAAATACTCTTTTTCACCCTCAGGCAAAAATGTTAAAAAACTGCTAACATATTGTGTTGGGAAGGGTGTAGGAAAAGGGTCATTTGAATATATTATTGAATTATACATTGGTTAATTTTAGAGGATAATTTCGAAGTAGTTCTCCAAAATTCTAAATATGCTTATCTTCTAGCCCAGCATATCCACTTCTGATATCCTGTTCATAAAAATGCACAAGTGGCCAAAAATATGTCTAAGGGAAGGTCTGTCATGGTATTATCATAACAACAACATAGCCCTCCGTTAACAAGAGTGTGCATGGTACATCTATATTTTGTAATAACAGACAGCTAATAAAGCAAAAAAAAAAGGTAAATCTACTGCCATGAAAGCTCTCCATGGTATAGCCTGTTAAGTGAAGTATACTTGTTTTAAAATAAATACCTACTCTGTATGTATATATTTGTTTCTATGTATATTTGAAAAAGAAAACATTAAAAGGTCTGGCAGGATCTACACCATGCTGTTAAGAGTAATAATCACTGATGAGTGATTGGGGTATGGAGGGGGTAAAAAATGGGGAGCGAAAAGGATAAATCTCTTTATATACTTCTGAACCCATTTTTTCCATCATCAATGTCTTTAACTTATAATTCAATCAGGATCATAATACAAATTAGGTGAGAATGCACATTTTCTTTCTAATACACTCTTGCCCCAAACTAACATGAAAAATAAACTATTTCAGAATAAACACTTAATTTTCAGTTCTCTACCAATAAAATAGACCAATTTAGATTGCTGATGTTGAGGTGAAGAAGAATGAATGCAGACAGAATTTGAAATGACAACAAATAATGCTAGTATAACACAGGCCCTAACATAGGTAACACATAAGGTATCCAGATTTCTACGGTGTCTTGTCTTTTAGGAGTAGACTTAATTCTGTGTGAATCTAGAGCAGGACCTGCACATTTTTTCTGTAAAAAGTCAGAGAGTAGTATTTTAGGATACGCAGGCTAACCAGTCACTTTAGAGACTATTCAACTCCACTGCTGCAGCACAAAAGCAGCCACAAACAATACAGAAACAAATGGGCGTGACTAACTTACAAAAATGGGCCAGTTTACTGACCCCTGGTCTAGAGGATAGAATAATGACCCAGGGGCAGAATCAAGGAGGTCTATCATTCTCACTCAGCAGGTGTTCATTACAATTAGAACCAACTACAAACAGAACATGCCACCTCAGTGGATCCCAAGCTTCCCTGAGGATGTTTAAATGACACAGACAATCATGTATACAAATATAGGACAAAATTCCATAGAACAGGCTGGTCTGAAGGTAGTGAGTTAACTGATTGTTCACAGTCAGTTACAGATTGAACTTTCTATTTTTCCCTTCTCACTATTGCACTTGTCAAAAAAAAAAAAATTCCATGCAGAAGATGAAGATTCCAGCCTGAGCAACATGGTAAAACCCCATCTCTACCAAAAATACAAAAAAGAATTAGCCATATACCAGTGGTCCCAGCTACTCGGGAAGCTGAGGTGGGAGGATACCTTGAGGCTGGGAGGCAAAGGTTGCAGTGCGCTGATATTGCACTCCAACCTGAGTGACAGAGTGAGACCCGTCTCAAAAACAAAACACAACAAAAAGATGAGGGTGGTCTGGATGGCAGACTCCAAGCTTGCCTTCAACTGGGGTACTTGATTTAGGGGCAAGTTCTGGCCCCAAGTCCTACATCTAACTATAAAACAACTTACCAAACATGCGAAAACTGTTCTAGGCCCATCAGGGAATGTTCGGGATTATTAAAGATGCTCTTTCTAATCCTCAAACAGGCTCGAGAATAGCTACAAACGGATGGCTGTCTTGGAGTACCATTCTTGGCTGAGAAACAGGATTCCAAGTAGCCAATTGGCTCAGTTAAAATATTCCCTATGGTAGAAAATTAGGTAAGAAATTATTAGTCAAAATTTCAAACCAAATTGTAAGACAACATGTTTTCTCTAATGCATTGGTTTCAGTTTTAAAATCTTGGTGTTGTACAACTATAAAAATGATTTTTTATAGTATTCATGAAAACATGTAAGTATTCTCATCATTACATACACATACATCATTACGTACATAGTAATATCCCTTTGGATATACTAGAAAGAATAACAGTCCAAGAAAGAAAGAATAAAAGGAAGGGGACATTTTCATAATACATACTATGACCATAATTAAAATTCTATGCTACCAAAACTAAGTTATGTGACTCTGGCCAGAGCTATGAGGGTATTTCTAACAGAGGCGACAGTGTATACAAAAGCAAATGAGAAATGTCATAGTATACGCAGGGAACAAGCTATTTTGATTGGCTGGAGTATGAAATAAAAGGCAGAGAATGGTCCCACCACAGAATCCTCTAGAGTGTGCTAAAAATTAACAACAACAACAACAAAAAAGGCAGAGAATAGTGAAGGAGGAAACACTGGTTGTACGTAAGTAAGGAACTCTTCAATTGAAAGCAACAGAACATATGAAACCAACTAATTTAAGAAATAAAGGGCGCTTATAAGCTCATAGTGCTAAAATATCTAGAGGCAGGGTAGATTTCAAGTTAGCCTTGGTCCAGTAGCCTTCTGCCCCTCTAGAATGTAAGCTCCATGTTGACAGGAGTTTTTCTGTCTTGTTCATTGCTGCATTCTCAATGTCTAGTATATTGCCTGCAAGGGAGGAGGTACTCAAAAAATTCAGGGTGCATGGAAGAAAAGATTATGTTAGTCTAAATGAATACGGAAATCAAAAAAGTAAAATAATATGTATAACATAATCCCACTTATGGGAATTTGTTATATATTTACCTACTTAAACATTTACAGTTATGTCTGGAAAGCTATCTGGAAAGATTTGTATCTGTTTGTTTTTTCTTTTTTGAGACAGAGTCTCGTTCTGTTGCCCACACTAGAGTGCAGTGGCATACGATCTTGGCTCAATGCAATCTCTGCCTCCCAGGCTAAAGCAACACTTGTGCCTCAGTCTCCTGAGTAGCTGAGATTTATAGGTGCGCACCACCATGCCTGGCTAATTTTTTGCATAGAAAGGGTTTCACCTTGTTGGCCAGGCTGGTCTCAAACTCCTGACCTCAAGCGATCTGCTTACCTTGGCATCCCAAAGTGCTGGTATTACAAGTGTAAGCCATCGCACCAGGCCAATATTCACCAATTTTTTTAAACAGTTGTTAATCTGGGTAGTGAGATTTTAAAATTACCTTTATATTAACTTTATAATTTCTATAATATTTGAAATTTTTTCAATAACCACAAATTAGGCCAGGCATGGTGGCTCATGCCTGTAATCCAAGCACTTTGGAGGCCAAGGTGGGCAGATCACCTGAGGTCGGATTTCAAGACCAGCCTGACCAACATGGTGAAACCCCATCTTTAAAAAAAAATTTTTTTAAAACACACACACACACACACACAAATTAGGCCAGACACAGTGGCTCACGCCTGTAATCTCAGCACTTTGGGAAGCTAAGGTGGCAGGTCACCTGAGGTTAGGAGTTCAAGACCAGCCTGGCCAACATGGTGAAACCCCATGTCTACTAAAAGTACAAAAATTAAAAAAAAGTTAGCCAGGCCTGGTGGCGCACACCTGGGATCCCAGCTACTCAGAAAACTGAAGTAAGAGAATCGCCTGACCCTGGGAGGCAGAGGTTGCAGTGAGCAGAGATCATGCCACTCTCCAGCCTAGGTGAGCAAGACTCCATCTCAAAAAAACATACAAAAACAAACACAATTTTTTTAAAGTAAAAACATATTTCAAAAGAAAAAAAAAGGCCAGATACCACTAATATAAATTTAAAGTCTAAGGTCTCCATGACTATCACTTTGAAATTATAGATAACTTTTTTATTTTCACATTTCAAGAGAGAATTATCCATTCTGAGAGATAATATAAAGACATTTCAGACTTTTCTTTTATTTCCTCCTTCTTTAAATCTACCCTACCAGCATAAGAAGTAAGACTATAGGTCTGGGGCTGTCCCTCAAGTATTCTTTCATTTCTTTTCACTTCTAGAAGCTATTATTTGACACATATAAATATTATATACAACATACAAGTTATACAGCAGATTATAATCAAACCCCATGTACCCACCACCCACCCCAAAAACTAGAGCATTACCAACAACATGTTTTTTTTTTTCCTTTTTTGAGATGGAGTCTTGCTGTTTCCCAGGCTGGAGTGCAGTGGCAAAATCTCGGCTCACCACAACCTCTGCCTCCTGTGTTCAGGCGATTCTCCTGCCTCAGCCTCCTGAGTAACTGGGATTACAGGGACACATCACCAAGTCCAGCTAATTTTTGTATTTTTAGTAGAGATGGGGTTTCACCATGTTAGTCAGGCTGGTCTTGAATTCCTGACCACCCACCTTGGTCTCCCAAAGTGCTAGGATTACTGGCATGAGCCACCACGCCTAGCCCAACTTGTGTCTTTTTAGGTTTTATCTCACACCCTTCTTTTCCCTCTGAGATAAACAGAAGCCTGAATTTGGTCTTTATCATTCATGTCCTTTTGAAATATGATTTTATTACATGTATATGCATGCCTAAACAGTATTTCATTGATTTTTGTCTTAAGATCTATAAAAACTGGTATCAAACTGTTGTCTTCTCAGACTTGCTTTTTTTCTCTCAATATGATGAGTCTAAGATCCATGCATACTCTGTATGTTTTTCACGACTTTAATTTTTGTTGAAGTATGTTTATAGGCATTTTTTTTTCTTTTTGACCCTCATCCATGCTTCTAAGGAACAGATACAGTAAACATCTTAAAAATCAAAAAACTGGCTGGGCACGGTGGCTCACGCCTATAATCCCAGCACTCTGGGAGGCTGAGGTGGGTGGATCACAAGGTCAAGAGATCAAGACCATCCTGGTCAACATGGTGAAACCCCGTCTCTACTAAAAATACAAAAATTAGCTGGGCATGGTGGCACATGCCTGTAGTCCCAGCTACTCAGGAGGCTGAGGCAGGAGAATTGCCTGAACTCAGGAGGCGGAGGTTGTGATGAGCCAAGATCGCGCCATTGCACTCCAGCCTGGGTAACAAGAGCAAAACTCCGTCTCAAAAAAAAAAAAAGAAAAAACTGAAGCCAAATGACCTGGTGTATCTTCTATATGCCTGGAAGATAAATGCCCAAAAAAGACTCCTAACCTAACCACAAAATCCCTGTCTTGTTTTCATTTGTTCAAGAAACATTTTCTGGCTAGTACTCTGGGTACACTGCCTATGAGTTTGCCCTGCTCCACAAAGAAAAGTATAAGAAAAGAGAAAAAAGAAGTACTATTTTCCAAGTGTCTACAATTGCCAGACATTGTGCTAAGTTTAGAGAAAAGATACAAACCAAGAACTCCTACTACAGTGGAATTAATGGTTGGGGAGAATCTCACACCATGCTTCAATATCATGGAAAATGTCCTGTCAGCAGTAACAAGATCAAAGATGCCCCTGACTCTTTGATTTGGGACCTAGGAATTTATATTATAGCTGATTTACCACTCCACTGAATCAGTCTATGCCTGTTCTTCACAGATTACACATATGATACGACAAATATAAGTGGCTGCCAATTAGATTTATTTCTATCCTCTTTGTGCATCTCCTTAAGAACATAAACAAGGGCCAAGTGTGGTAGCTCATGCCTTTAATCCAAGCACTTTGGAGGCCAAGGTGGGCGGATCACCTGAGGTCAGGAGTTCAAGACCAGCCTGATCAACATGGTGAAACCCCGTCCTTAAAAATAAAAATAAAAAAAATAAAGAACATAAGCAAGACAATGAACTGCATTAGCTATGAACTGAAAGTATATTCAAGAGCTACTTTGTAAGAGTTCCTCTAACTCTGCTACTCTAAAATGTTTGGGGCCACTTTTGAAATATCAAATATCCACATCTTAGTATGTGTGAACTCTTCTGGGACAGATTTATATATTCTCTGTGCCCTCCTGGGGATAATGCTATGAAACATAAATGCTGTTTGAAGCAGAGACCTGAGACCATTTGCCCAGGAAAATTCTGGTCTTCTTCCTCTTGACTATCTCAAAACAACAAAAACCCAAAAGAACAGTAAACACCTATCATTTGGTAAGCACTGTGCTAAGAACCTGGAGTACAAATAAGAACTGGTTCTCATCCTCAAGGGTTTCCAGCACACTGACAGAGAAGGACAAGTAAATCAACCATTCTAGCTAGGTGCCTTTGCAGGGATAAAGACAAGCACAGATATGCCAAATACCAGCACCAGAACCTCATGGAAATGGGGAGACGTGGTTCCTCAAAGGAGCAAGGGAGAATTAGGACCGGTTTCAGAATAGAGAAAGGATAAAAACAGCACAGGGCCACTATACTAGCTGTGTGACCATGGGCAAAGCCAGCTTATCTGTCTGAATCTGTTTTCTCATCTGTAAAACAAGGATAATAATATCTACTTTGGAAAGCTGTAAGAGTACTAATAAACTATGTAAGCATCCAGTAAAATGAAGGCACCCAACAAGAAGTGCTTTTTAAAATCCCTGTTCAGGCTTTCTCCTCTTCTAAACATTACAACTGTGTTAATGGTAATAAGTAAAAAGCCAGCAAATAATCCATGTGAGGGGTTTCGTATACAAGGCTTGTCCGTCTTGCTCTAAAAATTTCTGTCTGGACTATTAAGTTGCCCTTGTTATGCTTTCTCTCCCCACTGCAAGCTCTTTCTCTTCTCAAAATACTCTAGACCAATCCTCAACACTCCTAGAGTTTCCTGTGTTACGCCAACTCTTCAAACTCTACATGTTTCATGCTAACAGACTTTGTATTTCTTAGCCTGGTATCAAGGTTCTTCACAATCAGAATCCAAAGGTTCCCACCTCCCTGTTCTACCCAAAACTTTAGATTTTCTAGCTCCCCAAACCTATACTGTGGACTTCTGAGCCCTGCTTCTGCGTTTTCCTTTCCTGTCAAAATATTAGACTTGTAATCTGGCAGTGTACAACACCTTTTTTTTTTTTTAGCACATTTCACCAGATAATAGCACTTCCAGGAAATTTAACAAAGTTCAAACTTTAGAATGTACACAAAATTTCGGCTTCAAGAGGTTTCTTTTAGAATAATGCAAACTGGCAATAACCTAAATGCTCAGTAACAAGAAGCTGGTTCCATAAATTAGAGCACATCTCTAAAACAAAGAGTTAGGCCAGTTGCAGTGGATCACACCTGTAATCCCAAAACTTAGGGAGGCTGAGGCAGGGGGACTGCTTAAGCCCAAGAGTTTGAGACCAGCCTGGGCAACATGGTGAGAGCTTGCCTCTACAAAAATTAATAATAAAACAGCTTGCCTCTATAAAAATAATAAAACAAAGTGTTAAAACTAACATGAATTGTCCCGTTAAGATCTTTTCAAAATTCTTTGAGTTACTAAACAGTGGGGTCGCATAGTACCTCACTTTCCAAGTGTGTATGCAAAGAAACAAGAATGGAAGGTAGACACCAAGATACTGACAATGGCGTTCTCTGGCAGGCTATTTTAATTTTCTTACACTGCTTTCTAGTTTCTAAAGCTAATATATTCCCCACGAAGACGTGTGAGTAAAGAGAAATAAATTCTAGGCCCAATTTAAAACTATTTTCTCCCCCCAAACTTTCCCCCTTCTCTCTCCTCATTCTTACAGGGCAGGATGCTTCTCTCCTATTGCATTTACTAATTTCTAACCCGCCTAACACCACTTCCCACTCTCTATGGCACGGAGAACCCCCTAAGGGAAATACTGCTAGCTTCAAGTGGCTGCTTCAGCTACTGAGCCAAGACTAGGCAAACCAATCTTCCACCAAAGCGGAACAAGCCAGATTACGTCATCCCGCGCGCCCAGGCACATCACGTGATCGACGAAGCACGTGACCTATGCCTTCGCTGTAAGTATGAGAATGACGCACGTCAGTTCTAGATCTTGCATTTCACGCCAGTCTTGGCAATGAAGTCAGCTGCCTGGCGCTAAGCATCTCCAGAGTGCGGCACCGCCACTCTCTTGGAAGTTACCTGTCTCCAGAGTCGGCTTCACGCAGCCGCACAAGTTCACTGTAGGCCGAGGCCCTGGCTTCTCCAAACCACGCATGGCTACTGGTTGCTGAGGTGCCCCGCCGACGCATCCAGCCTTCCGCTTCCGCTTTCCATGCCTGACGCAAGCGTAGTAGCCTCGCCGGCAGACTCCCGCCGGCCCTGGAGAGTGCGCCCGCGCAATGTGGCGCTGCGGGATGCTGGTAGGTCTGCATGAACGGTTGAACCTGTATCATAGGCGTGTTCCCCTCCGGGACCACGATATCGTTTATCTTAACGCAAAGCTGCTGCAGTTGCCGGCCCTTCCAGGCTGCGGCTCCGGTTCCCGCGGTTTCTGAGAGGGAGCACACATCGATGAAGAACTACGTGCAACTGTGTCTTTCTCGAAACATTAAGCAACCTACACGTCCAGTATGACCCTAATTTATAAAGGATGTGTATATGTAATTATCACAGAGCGGAAGGACTGGACGTTAAGAAATGTTAAGAATTATCCGGCACCTGCGGTTCCAGCTACCCAGGAGACTGAGGCGGGAGGATCGCTTAAGCCCAAGAGTTCGAGGCTGCAGTGAACCGTGATCGCGCCACTGCACTCCAGCCTGGGTGTCAGAGTGAGACCCCGTCTGTAAAGAAAGAAAGAAATTCTCCCTGGGTGGTGGGAAAACACATGTGATTATCTTTTTTATGCTTTAATTTTTCCATATGCTTTGTCAGTAATGAACCCAAATAAATCTTATTTCAGTTGTGGTGGATGTTATAAAGGAGCCCTGCTATGTGCTAAGGGTTAAGGAGTGGGGACTGTTTCTTGTGCTCCACACCTTCCCAGAACGGAAGTGAGAATGAAATTGTAAGAGTCAACATGCCATGTACATTGAGAGGATTATTGTTTCTGGACAGCTCTGAGAAGCTAAGAACTAACAAGAATCATCTTTAATCTCATGTAGTGACCAGTTGTCCTTTCAATGATAGCCTGTCTTTTACCCACTTGTAATGCTGTCTCACCTATAGCAAGTTTCTCTGTACTTTTTAATCTGGGAGAAATTTTTTAATCTTTTATCTTTTTACCTGTTAACATTATGTTATCGGCAATATAAAATATTCAAAAGCATATGAGTTCACAGATTGAAAAGCCTAACGACCATGAAAAGATGTTTCTCTGTCCGTCCATTTGTTGTTGATTTCTAGTAGAAAATAACGAACAGTAGGAGCCAAAGGATTAAAGATTGTGGTTTAAAAAATAAAATTGATCAAATTCACATAGTGTCTTTTGGCAGGTCTTTTTTGTATGACAACTTAGAAAAGGCTGCCATTCTTTTTTTTTTTTTTTTTTTGGAGGAACAGTTCTGGACAGCTAGAGAAACAAGTTTGAGAACCATTGGAGATATATGTATGTTGTAAAACTGAGCCGGAATTACTGCGCTTGCCGCTACATGGTGGTGTTGCTGAAAATGATAGTCACGCTTAATTTGTGGAAAGACTAGATTTGTAGAGAGACATTCGCTCTGCTGGAGGTCATGGTAGACGTTGATAATTACACACAAAAAATATGTAATTACCAAGTATGACAAGTGCTGAAATGCAAAGCTGACTTGGGGATACTAATGAAATAGATTGCTACCTCTTTTAAAAGTAAAATTACTCTTGTCTGAAAACAGGAACTTAAATATGCAGCACATTTATTAGTCTATGATTTGAAGTTCTTATTATCTGTCTGGATTTATATCTGATTATTTGCAGTTTATAAGACTTAACCTCTTCTCCAGAGATAGGACCTAGAAATCTGCCTTAAAGAAATGACCTAATTCTGTGGTCTTCGGCTTGTCTACTTTTAGAAACACTTCTCAGTAGTGATTCTTAACCTTTCATTTGGGTGAAGGACCCTTTGAGAATCAATTAAAGCTTTGGACCATCTCACACATCTTTTTGAATGTAATATCATAGGTTTCATGGATTTATAAGATCTTAACATGAGTAGAGAGTGGCACAAAGTCAAGCTAGGTGGATTCTTGCAAAACTTAAATTCTATCACCTCAAGGTTCCAAGCCAAGAACGCTGGAAGAATTTTAGATACACACTGATGTTTGAACAAGAATGGTAAGAAAGCAGAGGTTGTGTGTGAATACAGGGAGTGATGTAAGAGGGCAAGCAGAAAGGGTCCCGAGAAGTGGAGAGAGAAATTCTGCTTCCTCTAATGTACTGCATTCCTCTTTCCCTCTACTTCCCCATCTCATCTTTGTGCTCCTGTACACTTAATGCAACACTATTGGAACTTGAGACTTCAGTTTACTCTTTTTTCCCTCTAATTTTGACCCACTCTGGCAGGTGAAATTGAGACAGAAGCATTCCAAAGAAGAACCGAAAAGCACTGAGGAACTCAGATGTGACTTTGGGTGAATACCTACCCCCTATGATGTTATTCCCTCATCTCTAAGTGGAAGCGATAATCACTGCCTGGCCTATTTCACAGACTTTTGTACAGATCAAATAAAATAGTTTATGGGAAAGTAAATGTTGAAGTGTCACTGAGAGGTAAGGAACTATTATATGGTTGTGCTGCCCTCATTATGTTGTACAATAAATATAATGGGGATATGAATAATTTTACAGTGAATGCATCCTGATGGTAAAAAATTTAATCTATACCCAAAAGCAGGTAGGCAGATAGGAGGGAAACAATATTGTAACATCCACTGTACCAGTGGTTCTCAGCCTTAGCTGCACATTAAGATGATCTGGAGAGCTTTTAAAATAAAAACATCCTAAATGCAATGCTATACCCTGGAGTGGATCCTGAAGCAGAAAAAGGACATTAGTGGAAAAACTCATGAAAACTGAATAATGTCTCTAGTTAATGGTAGTTTAACTATCCTAATTTCTTAGTTTTGACAAATGGACCGTGGTTATATAAGATGTTAATATTGGGGTAAACTGGGTGAAAGGTATATAGTAACTTTTGTACTATCATGACAACTTTTTTATAATTCTAAAATTATTTCTCCAAAAATTATTATTTAAATAAAACAATTAAAAATAAATATACCTATGCCTGTACATCACCCAGATGGGGGAATCATAATCCCTGGGGGATAAGTCTAGACATATATGTATTTTTGAAACTTTCTCAAGTGAGTCTAATGTACCAGAAGGGTTGAGAGAACCACTGCTCTCTCATGTTCATTATACCATAAATACCTGAGGGACTAGGCTACATCAAAGAACCCTGCCTTGTTCTTTGATGTAGCCTAGTACCCAGCACAGTGCCTATGCAGAAAGCTTGTGCAAGTGTGTTCTTGCTGAATGAACCTTTATTTGCAAAAATATCCTTAGTCCTCTGAAATAACAGAAGGAAAACTGAACACAAAAAATACCAGGGTAGATTTTCAGACATCTTCCCATCCAGAATAGTTTCTATTCCTTCCCCCTGTCTCTTGTCGTTTTCAGTTCATCTTCACCATTATCACCATCTTTATCATGTTCCTAAAATACTAAAATTGCCACTCCGTTGTTCAAAAATCTTACTTCTTTCCCTATTATTTAACAAATGATATACTTCTTGGTAAGGTATGCAAAATTCTCTGTGCTCTAATAACATAAGCTTTTTCATGCAAGCCTGCTACTATTTTATATGGACTCTATATTAACCATAGTTTGCTTGCCATTCTCTTGAACGTGTCTTGAAGTCACCCTTCTCTGTGTCACATACAGCAATGCTGCTATCCTCATCTACGCAAATCCTTTCCATCTTTCAAGGCTCCATGCCTGTGTAATGTTTTCAGGTCATTCCAGCAATGACCAGAGCATTCTCTGTTTGTATCTACCATTTAAATGTCACCAACACTTAACATTTTCTTTTTTAATTATTTGTTTTCTGTTTTATTTCCCCATGAAACTAAATTAAATCCCCCATGGGGTGTCATATAGGTCTTCTAACCCCACAGTTCTTAACATTATGCCATCCACACAGTTAAGCATGTAATAATGATTTAATGTACATTTTGCACAAACACAATATTTAAAAAGTAAAAACAGAAAATCAAAATTCAAATACAAAAGTAAACTACATTCATCACTCCAAAATATCTTTTAAGGAGATTTGTTAAAACTAACCAAAAGAGCCAACTAAAGCCTGAATAAAATTTTGATGCTACTGTTACAAGAAAACTCATGTAGCACTTAACATTTCCCCAAAATGTAAGTGTTCAATCTTAGTCATTTATCTGCTCTTAAGACTTACATAATTTTCTTAGGGAGGAAAATCCACTATCCAGTCCTCTCCCCTTCTTTATTTGTCTCTTCCCACCGCTGTCCTCCCCACAACACATACACACATACACACTCACACACACTCTAGCATAATATTATCTATGTGGTAGAGCCTTAAAAAAATGTTAGTTATTTCAGATATGGTCTACAAATAGAAAAAAGAGTAAGTATCAATGAGCATTGTGAAAAGTTTTACAATATTTTGAGAAAGTCACGCATAAACTTTTAAGCTGTGTATTCCACTGGACTACAACTTTATGGTTGAGCATTGTTAAAACAAAACATAACTATAGACATCATTTTCTGGATGAATCTCATTCATAATTGCTGGTATTTCTGGTTCTTCTGCTTTGGGTTTTTCTTTCACTTCTGTAAAATAAAATAAAATAGATAAACAGATTCAATAAATTGTATTGGGGCAATTGACTATCCATTTGGAGGAAGAAAAACTACTTCACAACATTCACAAAAACAAACTACAGATGGAGCAAATATTTAAACACCATAAAGTTATAGAAATAATAGTATTTTTAATAATCTTAGGATTCTAAGTAGAACACAGAGACCAGACACCATAAGGGAAAAGACTAGTAGGGTTGAATACCTAAAAATTAAAATTATGTATGGCAAAAAACACTATAAACAAAGTTAAACCAAATCAAAGACAACTAGAAAAATATTTGTAACATATACACAGTAAAAACTATTATTTAAAGAGATTTTTTAATCAGAAAAAGATAGAAATCAAAAATGTTGAATGGGACAAAGATTCAAACAGACAATTCTTTTAAAAATTATATTTATAATAATCCTGAGATGTCTAGCAGCATTAATTATAAAAGGGGGTGATTAAGACCATTAGGTGGGTTTTATTTTTGAACCTATTGCTTCTTAGCCTTTTGGCTAAGATCAAGTGTATTTTTTAACCTAGCAGACAGGCAAAAATTTTTTAAATGTCATAATATACAGTGCGGACAAAGGTATGAGGAAAAGGCACCTGTCTGGAGGCTAGTCTGACTGACTGTAAATCCAAACTTTAAATGTGGGTACCCTTTGGCCCAACAATTTGATTTCTAGGGATTGATTCAAAGGAAATAATCAGACAAACTTAAGCCTCCAGTGCCTCCATTTTCTTATATTAAAAATGAGATTATTATTTATCCACTAGAGTTTTTAATGTTGAATAAAACAATCCACATAAAATATTTAATATGGTCTGGCACATAGAAGAGTACCAGATAAATGTTAGCTAAATAAATGTTATTCCCAATGATATGCATTGAACACTGTTGTAATAGTAAAACTTGGCAGTAACCTAAGTGTTCATCCTTACAAAGAGACTGGTTGAATAAATTATTGCATATACGTATACCACAGTACCATCCAGATGTTACAAAAGACGTCATAAAGATGGCTCCAATACTTTGGTTCAATTCATTCACTTCAGAGGACAACAAAAAAAGATGGCTCCAATATGTATTGTAAATGAAAACAAAAACAAGTTACAGAATAGGATGGGTACTGTCCCAACCTTAACACTGGGAACTGGAGATAGAAGATGATATTATAGGGGACCTTTACTTGATATTCACTTGCATGTTGCTTTATTATAAGGAACACTTAATACTTTTATAATCAGCAAAAATAGATATTCCCATTTGTTTGGTTAAACAAAGCAAAAAATAAAATGAGCATGAATTAATTGACTATATTGACCTTGCTGGGTTTACAGTGAAACTGTTCGGAATCAGGACGCTGTTGGTTAGAGCTACTTCTCCAGCAGGGTACCCTGTGAGTGCACGTAGCGTTCACATGTCTGCTTTTCACTGCAATGTATTTCTTTAAAGTAGTTCCTCAAAACCGGTATTACTTGGAAACCAACTAACCCCATGTTTTTGTTACACTAATCTTTTAGGATAAAGAGCAAATAAACTACCAAAGGGATTTCTTTAGAAAAGTTTCCTGGGGATAATTATGGTCTGATAGACTCAGT